CTTCCGCCGCGGCTCTGGCCGCCCGTGCTGCGGGAGCGTCTGGGGTTTTCCAGGCCCGCCGGGAGCGCCCGCGGTGTCGGCCCCGACGGGCCCGAGGCTGGGCCGGGCGGACGCGGCCTCCCTGACTCGTATGAAGTTAGGGGTAGGCCGGAGGCGACACACACGCTCCAGTGGTCGCAGTGTCCGCTTGGTTTCTCATTTCTCTCTTCTTTAAAGTCCCGGGACCGGTAGATCACCCAAGGCTGTTTTCCTGTGACCGGGGAGAAACAGTGAATCCGTCCATCGTGTTTTAATTTTGTGGGTCCTAATTCAAAGTGTGTGGGGCGGGTCGATGTTTTTGCCCGTCGTGTCATGCTTCCGCTCCAGAGGGGACAAGCCTTCATTTCTGCGGACAAGGTGTTTGGGGGATGCATCGTTTGCCCAGTAGCCCTAGAAACGTTCTTGCACGGGCTCTTTCGTTTCACAGCGGTTTTAGTTCTTTCATTCCTTGTAGGGACTGATTTGTCTTTCTTCAGGTATCCCGACATGTAAAGGAAGACTCTCACCTGGCTAATTCTCCCTGTTATCCTGAATGGCATTATTTTTGTTTTGTTTTTCTTTTCTTGGCAGCTGCAACGTAAGTTTACTAAGATCTTAGTTTGGGAGCTGTAATACGTACAGTTCAATATTTATTCACTTAAATGTTTAGGTGGCTGGAAGATACAGGAGCCCTGACTCCCGGGAGCATGATGACCAGATGTATATTTTGTGAAGTTTGTTTTTTCAAATAAGTATCAGGTACTGTTGTACTGTTTGCTGGGGACATGGGAGTGGAGGAAGTAGTAGAATTGTTTACTCATCCACTTTCTTGGAATTATTTTTTGGCTACCTAAGGTTATTCGTATGAGAGACTTGGGTAAGGTGGAAAACACAGTTTGTCGGTGATATTATCTTAAATGTGAAAACTCACGTTAAAGTTAGGAATACAGTTGTATAGTCACATTATGGTATTTTAATAGGATGCTGAATGCTGCTGCTTGTGAGATCAAAGTAGACAAAGTGTTTGCATTTAAAGGCCTTTGTTGATGCTGATAAAAACATATATTTTTAGGGTATGATGGGAAGTTTTCCTTCTCACATGATGCTGTATTTCTTTTTAGGGGTGATTAATGGTCCATCCTCTCTCGATCCCTGTAGTTCTTGAAGATTCTGCCTTCCTTGACTACGTTGTTCTTATAGTCATTAGTTCAGTAAGCCATATTTATTATTAAATGCCAGATATGTGCCAGGCATTGTTCTAGACCCCAGGACTAGAGAAGTGAACAAAATAGACAAAAGCCACTGCCCTGGGATAGTTGACGTTCTAGACACAAGACAAGTGATAAGCAGTGAGGCGTGTGGCTCATGTGGGAGAGTGATATGAGCCAAGCAGGGAGGGGGATTGAAATTGTAGCCAGGATGGCTAGGAAAGGTCTCATTTTGAAGGTTAAGTTCTGACCAAGACCCAAAAGCAGTGCAGGAGGAAGGCAAGTGGGCTGATGTAGGAGGCTGGTGTGGCCCAAGTGCAGTGGGTGGGGGTGAGAGGAGCAGGACCTGAGGTCAGAGAGAGGACATAAGCCCCGGTGGTAGGGCCTTGCTAGGTCATAGTGAGGACTTGAGTGTTTATTCTGAACAGGACGGCAACCTTTTGGAAGGTATGGAGAGGAGGAGTAACATGATCTGACTTATGCTGAACAGTCTTGCTTTGGTGTTTCTGTTGAGAATATATTGCAGAGGGGCCAGGGCAGAAGCCAGGAGACCAGCTAGGAGGCTGTTGCAGTAAGCCAGGCAAAGATACTTGGAGGCTTAGGTCAGGGTGGGGAGAAGAGGTTGAATTCTGAATGTGTTTTGAAGGTTGAGGTGATATGATTTGTTTATAGATTGGAAGTTGGGAGAGGAGTGGGTGAAAGGGAGAAGGTAAAGATGGCATGAAGGATTATGGACTGAGCTAAGAAACTCAGATGGGAAAACCTGGGGAGGCCTGCTTGGTGGGGAGCATTGGGAGTTTGGTTTTGTACATGTTGAGTGTGATATGCCTGTTAGATGTCTGTGGCTTTATTGAGGGGGCCTTTGTGTTTACGGGTTTGGAATTAAGGGATTGGGCTGGGCTGGAGATGTGTGGGAGGCCACATCAGATGAGGTCACTCAGGGTCCGAGTGTGGGTAGGAAAGAGAAGAGGCAGGAGGGAGCCCAGGGCCACTGGCATAGAGAGGTCTGGGAGGCGGCAGGCAGACCATGCCTTGGTTGTGTTCTCCACGAGTCCACCAGCACTGTCCATAAAAATGTGCTCCCAGTTCAAGGAACTGACAGGGGCCAGCACTTAAGTAGCCACACTGTCCATTCCTTGAGGGCAGAGCTGGTATCTTATGCTTGCTTCTCCGGGGCTTTACGTTGTGTCTGGCACAGGGTTGGCAATTGAAGGAGCAGAACTTGAATTAATGATAATTTATACATGCCCCTACTATAAGAATGTTAGTTTACAGAGTTTGTATCCATGATAAGTCCAATCAGCATAGACTTAAACAAATGAAAAAGGCTGCTTATTGCATGGCAGGGCATTTTAACATGGACATTCCGTCCAGTGTGTTCACTGAAGCACGAGTTCTAGTTTTCTGACATAGCTAAACTTTTGGGTTCTTTTCTTTCTTCCTTTCTTTTTTCCCCTCCCATTCAGAACTGAACCACCAACATCTTTATATAAACTCTTCGGATTTTAAAAATAACTACGTGCAAACTGTTATCTTAAGTATAAGAGTTTTCTAAAGGAAGGGTAGAACCCTTTTGTTGAATTTGTGAAGTATAATCTTTTGGAAAAATATAAGTGTTTTTGGGTAAGTAAGTATCTTTAAGATGTGTTACAGTAAGCTCTAAAAGAAATCTATTCATTGTATGTTTTTTTGTGGTTTTCCCTGGTTGGATGTAATTGGTACTAAGTGGAGAGAAGTTGGTTGAATTCATCCAGCACAGTTCCGTTTTTCTGCCTGTGACACTAATGTTATTAAATCACAGTGCTGACGGAATTACCATATTATTAAAATGCTTTCCAATTTCCCTTGGGATTGTGATCATAGAAGTTCCAAGGAGGAGGGTGTGTCTGGGACCCAGGTGACGAGATCCAGGATCTGCTCCTAAGGAGGCTTCTCTCTCGAAGTGGGTGGCACTTCTCTGGCTTGCTTCTCCTGCATGTAGTATTGTTTCAGACGACACGCAGGAGAAGCAAGTAATATCATACCTGGAAGGTAACATCATGCAGGTGACATCATACCTGGAAGTCTGGAGGCTGGTGTTCTTTTCAGGGTTTGGCTCCTTTTATCTCAGGAGCTGTGTGAACTGCTTCATAAAAGACATGATATGGCATGTACAGATGATGGAAACATAGTGAGGGCTATGAAGTAAGACGAGAAAGGCTCTCTGTGGGGAAGTGCAGAGGCTGCTGGCCTCAGGCCCAAGTTAGCTCATTAACCTGAGAGTCGATGAAAGAATCTCAGAGAGTGAAATCCTCGTGGTGATCAGTCTGTGCAAATGTCAGTGATTGTGAATTTTAGTTTTGCACCCGTCCTGGGATTTCACCCTTCTAGGCAGAGCTGGTGGCTTTGCCGCATTTCATGGGTGAGGAGACTGAGTCTTAGTAAAGTTCAGGCATGTGTCATACAGCTAGCAAGTGGGCTCTCCAAAACAAATCTCCAAAAACAAATCTTAATAGACACCGTAAGTAAGTGTTATTTCGAAAAATTTCTCCTTCCTCCATAAGGTAAGATCCAGAAGGTAAGGGAGCTGGGCGGACTCGTCCAAGTGCCTTGGCCTGTGCTGAGGGAACAGTGCCTCAGTCCATGGCACCTCATAGTGCCTTCCTCTTCAACTGCAGCTGTGAGGGTGCCCCAACGACGTGGGGTCTACTTGGAGAGCCTGCCTGTGGTGTTTCATCCGGTCCACCAGTGCAGAGCCCCTAAGTGTAGTGAAGACTTTCTCATAATGGCAGAGGGATGTGCTCTTCTGGTAGGAATCACTGCAGGTCCAGTGATCCTTGGTGCTAGTTCTCCAGAGTCAAAGCTGGAGGCCATTTGAACCAGCCCATGAAGTGCGATGGCTGGCTTTTGCTCTCTGAATGTAGTCATGTCTCTCTTTTGAGCGAAGTTTGTTACATTGGATTCAGTTTCAGTAGAGAAATTTTTATGTTTGGTTCAGTTCCTGCTTATATTGTGCGAGGCCTTGGACTTCAGTTTGGTTATAGAGTGCATCTTTTTTTTTTTTTTTTTCAACCGGTAAGGGGATCGCAACCCTCGGCATGGTGTGGTCTGCACCACACTCAGCCACTGAGTGCACTGGCCATCCCTATATAGGATCTGAACCCGTGGCCTCGGTGCTACCAGTGCTGCACTGTCCCGAGTGAGCCACGGTGCCGGCCCATAGAATGCATCTTCTTCCGCACTGTGGTGTAACTGTTGCACCCATTTCGGTGATTCGGAGAAGGCTGGTCCTGGAAGGGTGGTACTGTGCTTGAGGGATGGTTCAAAGCTCTTCCTGTAGGTTAACTAGTTTCACCCTCATGCAATTCATGGGGAAAGCACAACTGTTCCCATTTTTCCAGTGAGAAAACTGAAGCATAGAGAGGGAACCAGCTTGTGAGGGTCCCTGTAGGTTAACTAGTTTCACCCTCATGCAATTCATGGGGAAAGCACAACTGTTCCCATTTTACCAGTGAGAAAACTGAAGCATAGAGAGGGAACCAGCTTGTGAGGGTCACACAGCTGGTTAGAAGTGGGCTTGGACTTCTGGCTCCACCACTGGACTCTTGACCACTGCTCCAAACTGGGAGGAATGTGTTCCACTGGTGCTGCCTAGTCGAGGTATCCTGCAGGGTACAGAGAGACGAAGACAGTCCCACTGTGAGGAGGCTATAGTGTAGTGGCAGAAGTGAGAGGATGGTGTACACAGTGTATCTGCAGCCAGTCCCGGGGGCAGAAGTGACTCCCACCCAACAGAGGGCAGGATTCTGGGGGAGGCCTGGAGTGCTGATTCAGCTGGAGGAGCCAGCAGAGCTGGGCATTTCTCTAGACAGGAAGGCAGTGAGGTGCAGGGTGCTGGGGCACAGAGGGTGGGAGCCCTCCTGAGGGCCTGGGAGGTAGTGCACCCCATTGCTGCACAGCCCCTGTTCAGCTGGTGGAAGCTGTGCTTGCTTCTTGGAAGTTTTGCTCCCTTCACGTTTCTTTGTCTTGTTGCCGGCTTTTGGTTTAGGCAGTGAAAGATCAGAGGCCACATAACCCATAATTTTCATAGTTAAGTAGGGGATTTGGTGAGACATTTGAATTTATAAAACACCTCTTATTACCTTCACTCTGAAGTTGGCTTCCTTGCTTATAAAGTTTGCTAATAAATCTAAGGAGTATGCCTGCATCGTGTTTTGCTGCTTCAACGATGAAGATCTCTCAGCTTCAAAGCAGCCCAGGCATTGTGTTACCCTACTTTCAGCTTTTTCCTTTTTTTCTTTATCCACTTGTCTCATTTCTTTATTATTTATATTTTTGATACGGAAAGCTAGATATCTTAAAAGTTTCTCATTTTCTGGATTCTGATACTACAGACTTTTATGGATTTAGCAATGTAGTCCTTTTCCTAGTGACATACTCCACCTCCTTCTGCCATAGTCTACAAATAAGTACTTGACCGAAGTGCTCATTAGCTCTTCAGTACTTAAAAAAATACATGTATGTGTCTTTAGTTCAAAGCTAGTGCCTTGGAAGGGACTCAAACATCAGTGGAAACGTAGTTTCCAACGCCAACGAGATTGGGATTACTGTCCTGCAGTGTTGTAAACTTGAAATTAGACAGGTGGTGTTTGCATCCTTTTTCCTTGAGAATAAGCTTTCTGGATTTGAGTCTATGTGTTGGATAAAGCATAGAGGTTGAAGTACAGTAGTCAGTTTTGAAGATATGGAAATGGCTTTGGAGAGGGAGCAGGGACATCATGATGTTTTTCAGTTTTTTTTTTCAAGATAGACATGAAATTTAATTCATCCTAACTCAGTTTTTATAATCACATGCAGAAACAAGTAATTTATATAAAAAGGGAGAAATAAACTTGGACCCTAGATTATTTATTCATGGTCACCAGCAGCTTGGTTGATGTTTTCTCTAAAAGCATAGACACTCCTGGACAAAGCCCGGTCACAGGCAAAGCCTTTTGGATCTTACCCCACCCGCCCCCCAACGCCAGCTGTCACCCTTTGGAAGCCACAGCATTTCTAGAAAAGAGGCAGAAGTAGGCCTGGGTCCCTTACAACTGGGAGTTCTTTGGACAGCAAATGTTTGTTAGTCCTGCCTGCACTGCTGGGACACTTTCAGGAGCTTCCCCACTCTGTGATTGTGCATTAGCTGCACATCAGATTAAGCCTTTTGGGTGTAGTAAAAATGTGTGTGCCTTTGACCTTGCAGTTCTGTGTCCTTGATATTAATGACAGCAGCTGACACTGGAGCCCCTCTTTCTGCCAGCCAGTACCTCATGGGAAGTGTTTCATGGAAACTTCGCAGCCATGTAGTGAGGCTGTCCTGTTATTATCCCATGTTATGGATGAGGGAACATCCACACTTAGAAGTGAAGTGGCCCAGGAGCCTGCAATCTGTGAATATCAAAGCTGGGACTTGAACCCTGACTGCCAGGGGCCAGAGCCAGCACCTTGCCCCTTCCCTTCCCTGAGGGGATTATGCACAGTCTGAGACATGCACGTGTGATGCTTCTGCAGTCCATGACAGGGAGTAATTGGGAATACCCTAAACAGGGCATTGTAGTTAAGATAGCGACTTACATACGTTTTAGAGAGCTGATGGAGATCTGTGTTTATTTGGAATGATAATCCCATTGTCAAGAAAGATAAAGATTGAGGTGTAAACCACAGGTGTAGTGCGAGTTCATCTGTTTGTCTTAGGTTGCACACGTGGATCTTCACGTAGAGACTTCTAGAAAGAGATTCATTGCTGGGTGATGAGGCGTCAGGTGATTTTTATATTTTTGTAGTCTTCAGTATTTTTTTTTTATAACTAGCATACATTATTCTTACCAGAAGGTGGGGCAGTTACCAAAAAATAAATTCAGATGTGGGAGGAACTCATATAGTGTATTTGATTGTCAAAAGATTTCTGTGATGTCGTAGGTAAGGATATGTGTGAGTGGGCACCTGTGAAGCTGGAGAGGTGGCAGAGGAGAGTACATGTTCAAGGCTCTCTCACAGCAGCTGGAGCCTTGCCTATGCCCTTGATGACACCCTGGAACATGCCGTGTGCATCGTGCCTTATGGGAATTTGGGCTGCATGCACTGCTTCTGGCTGGTGCCTTCTTTTTGGGAATAGTGGGGAACCTGAGTTTCCTCAGTCACAATTTTGTGGACGGGAGGACACTGGGCCTCTGTAGTTTCTTTTTTTTTTTTGTCTTTTTCCGTGTCCGGCAATGGATCACAACCCTCAGTGTTGCCCCCGTACCGGACCGGGGACCGGCAACGGGATTGCAACCCTTGGCGTTGCCCCCACGCCTCGCTCAGCCAGTGAGCGGGAACCAGTTTGTATGTGGGATCCGAACCCTCGGGCGGGAGCGCCGCCGCGCTTCCCAAGCGGCGCACTTATCCAGTGCGCCACCGGGCCGGCCCTTTAGTTTCTTAATTGAAGCAAATTAGATTAGATGACACTTGGGTCTCATTGGCACAGCAGGTAGACACCATGGGCCTGCAGCCAGCCACCTCCTTAGAAAGTGAGTGTTGCTGCATGGATGCATGTGGTGGTGTGGAAGTGAAAACAGGTTACCAGCCTTGATTTCTGGGCCCCCTTGGCACCCAGGTGCCTTTGGGGACTTTGCAGAGAGGTTTGTCTCTCAGTTTCCAGGGGTTAATGTCCTACTTAGGAGTGGCACCCCATTGCTCTACAGCTAACTGCTCCTAACCAAGAAATTGGGGGGGACTAGAACCTGCAGTGTTCTGGGAGCTCATTGTTTCTTGCCCCTGAAGCATCTGCTGTCATCACATCGTCCCTGAATACACGGCCAGGGTGACATCTGCTAAACCTTAGAACATCCATGAAAGCTTACTCCACGTCCAGTCTTTTCTGTAGCCTGCCTTGTGTACAAAGATAAAGGGTGTGGTTTCATTTTATTTTTGTCCTTTAGGTTTTAAACATTTTAAGTCTGAAACAATTAAGTGCTTGAATTGGGTGGCTTTCTCCTCTTGGGCTGGCCCCCGACTTGGTCTCTCACCCTTGTGTCAACTGGATGACACTGACTCAGTGGCTTCAGCGGCTTAGAATCTGGAAGGCTCAGGAAGTGGGGTGCAGCTCCTGCCCCTCAGCAAAGCAGCTGCCTGGCAGGCCTCCTTGTGCACACGGTCTGCTGTGCTGCTGAGGCACAGGTGTGTAGTTTGTTGCAAGAATTTACACTTTGTATTCTTCTTCGGTACAGAAATACCATAAGTCATCTCTTTGCTTTTTTTTTTTTTTTTTTAGTGAAATTATACAAGCTTGATGTGTGTTTTTGGTTTCAACAGCTACTCTGACCTACGACACTCTCCGGTTTGCCGAGTTTGAAGATTTCCCTGAGACCTCAGAGCCTGTTTGGATACTGGGTAGAAAATACAGCATTTTCACAGGTATCAGCCACATTAGAGCCCATTCTCTTCTGGCTTCTCAGTCTGCAGAAAGCATTTTGTGATGATAATTGTTACCTGCTAACTCTTTTTTGTGACATATGACTTACAAACTTAAGGCTTTGTGTGTGTGTGTGTGTTTTTTCTTTTAACCTCTAGAAAAGGAGGAGATCTTGTCTGATGTGGCATCTAGACTTTGGTTTACATACAGGAAAAACTTTGCAGCCATTGGTAAGTATCAGTTTTTTTTATGATGTGTAACAAACAGGAAGGAGGGGAACTTATGCTTACAGTTTTGACTCTAGTATGCTACATACTTCCTTTTCACCCGCACAGCCACCTTGGTTGAATAAATTGGCTGAGGTCTCACACCCAGTAGTGGCAGGTCCAAACCCAGGCTCCTGGTTCTACCTAGGGCAGTGTTTTTCCAACTGCGAGTCACAGTTTATTACTGGAGCCTGAAATCAGTACCATGGGTTACGATGAACATTTTTAAAAATTTAGGACAGAATGGAATCTGAAACTGAGTGTGTTAACCATAGCGAAGCAGCATGTTGCTTCAGGAGATTTTAATTTCTGTTTATGTATTTGAATGTGTGTCCTGGGTCATGGCTCATTTACAGTATGTTTCTTAACTGTGGTAAGGAACACTCGGTAGCTATCGTCTGTTCTGTACATTCCACACTTAGGGGGAGACTTGCAGGGCAAGGTGAATGTGATGTGTTTTCACATAACACTAAAGTACATGCCATTATAAGTAATCCTTCATTGTTGTATCCCCTGGAGATGGACAAAGGTTGGGGACCAGCTCTAGGCCTTGACTCTTTTTTGTCAGAGAACCTGGCACCAGAGGGAGGTTAGGGACCAGGCTGATTTTGCATCTCCTCAGTGGCTGAGTCACGATTTGGTTCCTCTCTGAGATGTGGTTTCATCCATTTTCCGAAAGTGAAGTAAGATAGCCACAATGGCTTGACACTGGAGAACACTGAAATGTAGGGAAGCAAGGCGCACGTCTCCACAGGTTGATGTTTAATGATGTAACCGGCCAGGTGTGCTATCGGAAAAGTTGTCCATTCCACAAATGCTTGTCTCACACCTGCTCCTGAGCCTGCCCTCCACTTGGCCCTGGATACGAGTTCGTCTTCAGCCTCTGTCTCCTGCACAGCGACTCTGCCGGGGTGCTAGGGAGGAGCACAGGGCTAGAGAGAAGGCTTCATCTGGCAGAGTCATCATGGAGGAGATAGAGGCTGGGGATGACCTGCTGTCGGTGAAGCAGCCTCATCGTGGTTCTAAAGGCCGAATGGGATCTGTTTCCTTCCTTAGGCCAGCAGAGACACCTGTTTTCATCAGAAGTGGGGTGTAGGTAATAACAGGCACTGTGGGTCAAGGTTGTCTGTGCCTGCCAGCCACCCCCTCCCCCAGAGGCAGGCTTCGCTGTCCTCCCCGGTGTGTGGGAGGAGCTGCTGGAGGTTCAGAAGTGGGCAAAGGGTGGGCCAGGATTGCAACCCTAGTGGTCTGACCACTGGAACTCTGCTCTTCCGCCGCAGTGTACAGTGGCATTCCTTTGGACTCCTGCTGCAGGCTGGCAGGGCTTGTCCCAAATGTCTCATGGCACACACGATTCCCCGGTGCATACGGTCAGCCTTTCTGGGCCCCAGTGAGTGGATGTGAAATAAAGTGTGGGGCCTGGGCACAAGTGCCTGAGGGGCCGAGAGTCGTTGCTGCCACTGCTGCACATGCAGTCCCCACACTCAGCTGCACTGGGAGCTGTCGAGCCTCTGACTCGTTGTCTTTCTGGTAGTTGGAAAATGGCTTTCCTTGTTTAACTTTGCATTTTCTGGGTTACTAATGGGGTGAGCATCTTTTCATATGTTCCCCAGGTATCATGTCACTCTGTGGCTGACTTGTTCATGTATTTTGCCATTTTAAGGGGGTTGTTGGTCAGGATTTTCCACTCCCCCCAAATGCTGCCCTTGGCGTTACTGAGTCTGAGGAGATGTGTGTTGCCTGAGACGAGCTGATGGACGAGGGCATCAGGGCCTGTGGTGTGGAGCAGCCTGACGCCTCCCACCGGTGGACTCGGCCTCCATGGGCCATCTGACCGTGGACGCTTCTCTCTCTGTCCACCATGACAGGGGGAACCGGCCCCACCTCGGACACGGGCTGGGGCTGCATGCTGCGGTGTGGACAGATGATCTTTGCTCAAGCCCTGATCTGCCGACACTTAGGCCGAGGTGAGTCACGGCGGGGCCTAGGGGTGGGCGCTCACGGCCAGCATGTTCTTAGGAAGCAAAGAAGACTGTAGGGTAAGGGTTGCTTAAAGCTGATAACAGATAAAACGCAAATTAGATTTTAGGGCTTTCTTGAGTAATGACCCACTGATTTTCATTGATTAAAAAAAGTGACTTTAAAGAATGCTGATAAATGTTTTATTTTTTAGAAATTATCCTTAAACCACTGAAACTGTTTTCTGCTTTCTGTGTGGATGTGTTTTGATGAGTTGGCATATGCGTATTTGAAATCCTGGAGAGTTTTAACTCTGGGAAGGTTTTTTCGGATGGCCTAGCTGCTGTGTGTGTGCTGTGTGCTCTGTGAGAGTGGAGCGTGCCTCCTGTGTTTACGTAAAGCTGATCTTCTGTGCTTGTCTCCAACAGACTGGAGGTGGACACAGCAGGAGAGGCAGCCCGACAGCTACTGCAGCGTCCTCAGCGCCTTCATCGACAGGAAGGACAGTCACTACTCCATTCACCAGATAGGTGGGGGACTGTCTGCATTGTGGGCCGGGTCCTAGGCAGCTCAGAGGGCAGAGGTCGTTAGGTGTCCCTGGAGGCATTTCCAGTACTGTGGTGTGTGGAACATGAGGCTGTGCGTCACTCTGGCGTTTGACCACTGTGAGCTGCTGTGGGTCGTCCACACCCCAGGCCTTGCCCCTCCCCCGCTGTGACCTGCAGTGGGCTGCTGCTTATCACAGAGTCTGTGAACACTAGACTCGATCTCGGAGGTTCATTCTTTGTGCCCCGTCAGTGAGTCTGAGTGCTCAGATCCGAGTGGAGTTAGCGAAGGCCAGCTGTCCTTTGTCTTAAGCAAGTCCGGCCTTGTTCTCACTCACAGGAGGAAGTAACAATGTAGATTTGTGTGACTTAAACGACAAGTCATTTCATGTCCTTGATTCCCACCCTTGTTTAAGTTTGAAGTGAAGGGCAGACATTGAGACCTTGTCCTGTCCCTGCATCTTGTCAGAGCACCTTCCGTCTGGGGGCAGGGTGGGGTCTGCCTGTCCAGCCTTCCTGGAAAGTGTTCTCTGATGCCATGTGCCACTAGAGGTGGGGTACGCGGCATTGGGATGGTCAGTGGAGGGTGTGTGTTGCTAACCGAGATCTCCTTCCTGCAGCGCAAATGGGAGTTGGCGAAGGCAAGTCTATAGGCCAATGGTACGGACCCAACACCGTCGCCCAGGTCCTCAAGTATGTATGATCTTCAGCCCTTCCATTTCTGTGGGGACAGCATGAACATTCCTTAGGCGTTTCAGCTTTCCTTGAGTCTTTGTTGCAAAAGGAACTAAGGGGTCCTTTATTCTTATATGAGGGCCCTTAGGCGGTTCCTCGGAGGTGACCGTGCAGTGTTGTGAATCGTAATTTGTTTTCTAATGAAATCATTACCTTAATCCAGATTATGTCCGTTGGATCGGGTCCTTGTTCTTTGTCTGTTGTATGGGTCCATCTGTAGCAGTGGTTTCTGATGGTCTAGGAAGTTGAAACTCATCTAGAACCACAGCAGTTTTGTGGGGAAAGGGGGCCATCGTGTGGGCGATGTGGCCTTTGCACCTCTGTGGGCTCGTTAGAGGCTGGCATCCACTGGTGTCCTGACCCAGCTCCCCAGCATTCCTTGGAATCTCACTGTAGCCTCTCTCCCCTCCCTGCCTTGTCTGGAGATCTGCCTGGACTTCGCTTCCTGTAAGTCCCCACCTGTCCTCTCCTCCCTGCATGCCTAAATGTCTGACAGCTTAGACTGCACCTGCTTCCTCTCATACCTCGAGTGTTCCGTACAGTGTTTGCCTCCTTCTGCCTCCACCCGACCCACCTCACCAGCACTATTAATTGCTCTGAAATGGGTCTTCCTGCAGTTGCCAGGATTTTGTGTGTGGTTTCAGGTCAGTTACCACTTTTTAGTCTTCTTAACCTGTCAGTTATTTGGCCTGATTCATCCCTCCTGAGGCTGTGAGCCCTGGTGTCCCAGCATTTCTGGGGGGCTATGGGCTACTGCCCCTCAGGATTCACCCACTCGGAGCCTCTTCCCTAAGTCTGTCTCCAGCCGCAACTTTCCGTCTGAGTCCCTCCCTGCGCACCTGCCTACTCCACATCCCCACTTGAGGCCCTCACAGGTACATTGTGCTTGATGTTTCTGAAATGGCCCACCCTTCTCTGGGGCCCCAGCCGCTCCTCCTCCTTCCTTCTCATCGTGAACGGCCACTGTTTGCAGCCAGCTCCCCTTGTCTGGTCCTTGTGATCTTCTTGGACCCTTCCTTGTCTCACATTCAATTTCTATCTAGTCCCCAAGCCTGCTGCCGTCCCTGTCTCCTCAGCCTGCCCCGTGTGTGGCACTGTGCCTACCGAGCCCTTGCCGCCTGCGCATCCAGCTCGTGTGTGGTTGGCAGCGTCCCAGCCCCCTTTCACTGACACCTTCCTCCCTCAGTGGCATCAGTGATGCTCCCTGAATGGCATCGATGCTGTGGTCATGTCTGAAGCCGAGCCTCAGTCCCCGCCTCAGCTAGCAGTGAGCTTGCTTTCTGGAAATGCTAGGTCACTTGGCCATGCTTGCCCCTTGTCCTTTCCCCATGGCCTTCTCTCCTGTGTTGCTGGGTCTTCTTCCCTGACTCGTGAGCACTGCAGGGCACAAGCTCAGGCCTTTGTCCACTTCTCTGTCCTCTGCATAGAGACAGCTCCTAGGGTTACATCTTCAAAGCTGATTTGTCCCCAAATCCAGACTCATGTCTAGCTACCTATTCAATATCTCCACATGTCCGAGGGGCATGTTGACCCAGCCCCTGCCCAAGACTGCTTCTCCTACAGAGACTGGCAGCGCTGTGCTTCAGGCGCTCAGGCCAGAATTGGGGGTCATTCTAGACTCCTTTGTTTCAGCAAGCCCATCCAGAACGTGTCACACTCTGCCTGGTGCTCACCCCTTCTTCACCTCCCCCTGGTCTGAGCCCTTCGCTCGGCACCTTGTTGATCTGTATTCCCTCTTTGCCATTCTAGAGTCTCTTTTTCAAATAGGAGCCAGAGTCATCTTTCTGAAACACCTATGCCAGCCGTCATTCCTCTGCACTGAGCTGTCCTGGGCTTCCATCTTTCTCGCAGGCGGGTGCGCTCTGCCTCGCGTCCTCTGCTTGCCCTGAGCTCACCCCCGGCACACTGCACCTGTGCTCTTTGGACACACCTACCTCAAGGACTTTGTACATGCTGTGCCCTTCGCCTGGAACCTCTTCCCATGGCATCCACCTGCAAGTTCCCCATGCCTCTGCCCAGATGCCCCTTCATGTCAAGGCCTTCCCTGTAACTACATCAGTAGCATGTCTCCCCCATCCCCTGCTTTATTGTTCTTTGCAGCACGTACAACTGCCCCTGTGGTTACGTCTTCCTTGGCTAACGTCCCCCTAAATGTGATGTGTTGACAGTACTGCCCATGGATGGGAGGGAGGGAGCAGCAGGAGGAAGGCGGCCGGTCAAGCAGACTGCTCTCCTGGCACCCCCTCCAGGCTTCCTGTCAGGAGGGCCTCTGCTAGTTGCCCTGATGCCTCCTGGGCACTCTTTCCTCATTCCATCCCAGATGCACCAGGTCATTGCTGCCTCAGGGCCTTGGCAGGAGCTGTTTCTGTGCCTGGAACATTCCTCTTTGCTTTTCTATTCTTTCACTTTTTATTTATGTCCTCTGACCCCACCTCCACAGCACCCAGGTTTAGATCAAATTCCTGTTAAACTTTTGGCTGCGGAGTCTGCTCTTCCTTCGGAACCTTGAATCTGTGACCACAGCTTGTCCCTGCCGTCATTTGCAGTGGTGCTCCCCGTTAAGCTGCAGATTTCTCTGTGAGGGCTCAGACTCTGTGGTGGTCAGTGCAGCGAGTTTGGTGGAGGGGACAGCAGAGCAGAGTGTGCAGGTGCAATAAGGTTGGGCTGGGCTTGCCTCAAAGCTGGCAGAACCTGCAGTATCTGAGAACTGGGCTCATGTTCCGGTTCCCGCCTCTGTGTGCCAGCAAGATCAGGAACCGGCTCAGGACTCTTGTGTGTGCACTTTCTCGTTGTGAGTGGTGACTGAGGATGATGAAGGAGCAGCAGGCCCCAGGTGTGAAGAAGGCTCCACCCTCAACTGTCTTCCCATCCGCGGCATTGGACGCACCCCTTGACCTTCTGAGCCAGGGTCTTTCTCATCGAAGATGCAATGCCGTCACCCTCGGTCCCGTCATTGTCGATGCAAAGGTGAACTGTCTGGGTGTGGAAAGCTCATGGGCATGTTCTGCTTTCTGTAGGAAGCTTGCTGTCTTCGACACGTGGAGCTCCCTGGCAGTTCACGTAGCTATGGACAACACTGTGGTGATGGAGGAAATCAGTAAGTGACTCAGGGGTTCAGTTGACAAGAAAGTGGGAATTGTGGGTGACACACAGTTTTCTCTGCCCCAGCCCACAGCAGAGCCTCCACCTGGAGTGCTATGACTCTCCACTGTGGGCTGAGGGTCAAGCCAGACACCTGGCGACCTTGTTCTCTTGCAGCGTAGACCAGGCTGACAGAGGAGGTCCTAGACTCTATCAGAAGCGAGTTACTTGTACCCACATTATTTTTTGTGTCTTTATTACAAATAATTTGTTCATATGTGCAGTGTTTTGCTGCATTTGTGCAGGAATTCTGGTTGAATTCCTTTGGGTGTGCTAATGCACCACAAAGAAATGCAAGAACAGCTTTTTAGCTGTACCACCTCGAGCCAAGGTGTGACGTGCAGGAGGAGCGTGGCTCTGTTCAGCTTTCTGGAAGAAAGGTCTGTGTTTCACATTCCGTGATGTATATACCACACTGACAAAGCTCTCTTGTTTCATGCCTCATCACATTCTTCATTCAGGACCTTTTTCCAAAGAATTTCTTTTTTTTTTTTTTTAAAGATGACCGGTAAGGGGATCTTAACCCTTGACTTGGTGTTGTCAGCACCACGCTCAGGTAGTGAGCGAACCGGCCATCCCTATATGGGATCCGAACCCGTGGCCTTGGTGTTATCAGCACCGCACTCTCCCGAGTGAGCCACAGGCCGGCCCCCAAAGAATTTCTTAAAGCTGCTTCAGTCCTAGTTTATTGAAGTTCTCCAGGCTGTTGCCCTGAATCCAGTTTTACTTAAGAAAGAACACATTAAGAGACATGATCCAGAAAGTGCACAGTCACATGTTGAACTGCTGGCTTCCGCCTGGGGGGCTGGTTGCCCTGGCATGATGGCCAGGAAGGGCCAGGGACAGGCTGCTTCCTGGAATCTCCACCGCTCAGGGTGCTATGTGGTGCTGGGGGGAGTGCATTGGTGGTGGCAGGGATGGGGACTCGACTGTGTTTGGACTTCAGCTCCAGTGTATTCTGGGCTGTCAGGGTCATCAGGCCAGTGCTGTTGGGACTGTGACAAGCATGTGAACCCAGGGCTTGTCAGAGGAGGATGTGGGTCAGGTCCTAGGGAGGGATCTGAGTCTGCTTTTTTAACAGCTCCCAGGGGACACTGACACCCAGGTAGGATGTGGTAGGCCACTTGGCAGTGACCAGGGCCAGTTCTCCCGTCTCACTAGTTGGAAATGATGGTGCTCATCACAGGGACAGGTGGAAGATGTGTGACACAATAATTTGGGAAGAACATCAAAATACGACTAACAAGGACACTGAGACTGATGAACACAGCCCGGGTTTCTGAGCACCAGTATGGTGTGGTCGGCATATGTGGGAGTCATTCTAAATGGCCAGTACCAATTGCCTTTGGCCTCGAGAGCCCAGGAGAGAGGCATGGAGGGCTGCAGTAAAGAAGCCCTGTTCCACCACTGCAGCTGACTGGGGCAGCAGGCCTGGCAGAGCAGTCAGCAAGGCAGAGCTGGAGAAGCAGTGCCTTGGCCAAGCAAGGACCTCTTGCTTCTGATTTCTCAGAACTGCTTGTGAAAGGAACAGTTAGGGAGGAAAAAACCGGTAACCTTCAGAAATCCCACTGATGTCCCCTTCCTACAGTGAAAGCTGGCTGATGGCATTCCTGCTCGGATATTAGATAAAGTGTACTGGCCATGGGGAGGCCTTGCTGCTTGGAATGTCCTTGCCCACCGACCCCACCCTCTCATCTATCTCTTCACCCACCCATTGAAGGCCAGCCAAGATGTCCCCAGCTGGCTCTGCCAGCCTGTAATGTTGATAGATTTAGACCTTCGTAACCACAGTGGGCAGTGGGAAGTCACTGGATATGGAAAAAGATGTCAGTCTGGAAGCAGTATAAATGACCCCAATAAAAGAAAATTAAATGCCAGTGCCAGTACAACCACAGAGAAAGAGCAGGGAGCAGAGTCACAGAGGCTGAAATTAAACTCCCAGAGAGGCACTACAGCGAAACAGAGGCAGTGCAGAACGAGTAGGAAAATTCCCACGCATCAGTAAGAGTTGAGGCTTCAGAGCTAAAGCACCCCCCCCCCAATTTTTTATCAGGAATACTTAAATATATATATTCTTGGTGATAATTTCACATTGCAGATATAAAGAGAAAATGCTATAAGCATCCAAATAATATTGATAAGACTGAGCTGCCTTTGAAGAAAGGTGATCGAACTGGCCTGGGCATCTCATCTTCCAGCCCTACCAAATGCTACTGAAAAGTGTTTAGAATTCTGAGAAAAAGACCTGTGCTTCATGAGGTGGGGGAAGGCATACATATTGTTTAATTGTCATTGATAGAGAAATAGAAAATTTTAATGTGGTAAAAACGTAAATGGACCACTAGAAAATACAAATAGGTGCCAGAGACAAACAAAAACCCATGAAATGAACCACAGGGCATTTGTGATGTCGTAGGTCACACACACACAAACTGGTGGTGTCCCCAAAAGTGCAAAAATGACCAGGCTCTACTTCCTATCACTTCTTGAGCTGATCCATGTATCTGGTCACATTCCTGAGATAGAAGAGGGTCCATGCTAGAAACAGAGGTCCAGTCGGCACAGAAAACGTCATCATGAAGCTTTCTCACCAGAGCACAACCTCGAAATCAGTAAAGCAAAACCTACAGTAAATAGAGAGCACGTATAACTGATCAAATCAGAATCACACGATGGGAGCGTTTAGTAGATACGTGTCAAACCTTAGTTTCTGATGTGTCCGTGGAACATTTATATAAAACTAATGCAGAATAAATAGAAATTTTAAACTTGTCTTAGCTTTTGGGTCAAAAAAGTCAAGTTTCCAGGCTAACCCTAACCCTAACCATGTATCAGAATCTGGTGTGTACAGAACTCAGAAGAAAATCTGTACTTTCAATACTGGTGACCACATTTTTTTCAAAAGTGAAAATTAATGAAGTAAGGATACAATTCCAAAGATTAGGAAAAGAGCGACAAAGTTAACTGAAGAAACCCCAGAAGGGTGGTGGTAATAGAGACGAGTCTAAACATCAGTGATCTGAGAGAAGAAATGGTAGAACTGGTAGATTCTAGAGCCGGCTCTTGGAAACAACATCGTGTCCAGAAATTTGAAAGGTTAAATAGCCAGAGATAGAAAGTTGAAATACCTCCTCCCTGAGGTTTTAAACTTTTTTTGTGTGACTATTTTGAGAACTTTTAATCCTGCAGAAAAGCCCAGTGAGTCACAGCCATGACCCTTCCTGGCTCCACCACTCGTGTCTCCACACATTTGCTTCCTTGCCATGTGTGTGCTCAGCCTGACCGTAACACCTGCCGCAGGCGGCGGAGCCACTGTCCTGGGAGTGACCCGCATAGCTGCCTTCGTTTTCCTGATGAAGGGTCCAGCATTGTATGTAAATAGTTGCTGTACCTTTAGTCTCCTTTAGTCTAGAAAGTTCTTCCTCTTTTTTTTTTTTTTTGTAGTGTTGACAGGTTTGAAGAATCTGGGTCCAGTTCGTAGAATGTCCCATATGCTGGACTTGTCTTATCCTCATGATTAGATCTGGGTTAAGAGTTTTGACCGGGCACAGTCTGGGTGACGCTGTGTCCTCAGCACGTCGCCATGGCGCTGGTGTCCCACTGTTAGGCATGCTGCCTCGGCTCCCCAGGTAGGGTGGTGCCTGTTTCAAAGGTTCCTTTTTCCCTTGTAATTAATGAATTATCCGGGAGCGATACTGGCTGTGTAGTAGTGAGTTTTGCCTAGGTTTATTACATGTGTGCCTGAAAATGGTGGTTTTCGTAACTCGCCCCTTCCTTCCCTATGTATTGGTTGGCATTCTGGAAAAGAGCCTTCTTCCTCCTGTTCCTTCCTCATTTGGTTCTGAAGGACTATTGGGGCCACTGGGGTCGTGGTCCTTTGCTGCTCAGTGTGCTGTCCCCTGCCTCACTCTTTGATGCTCATGCTGGCCCACATTTGGCCACTAACACTCCTTCAGTCTGGCTCTGGTCTTTGACATGCTCCTGTCAATTTTTTGTTTGTTTTTGAGCACTTCCTTACTTTCTGGCATTAATTAGATGTTCCAGGCTCTTCCTGCACTTTCTCTGCCCAGCCCTGGAATCCACCCTTGCTCCTTTTAGTGGGGAATAGTGTTTAGAAACCAAGATCTGGGTACTGGGTGTGCCCCATGTTCCTGGGGTGTCTTCTCTCCCTACCACTAAGCCCTCTAGCGATATGTGGTTGAAGGATTACCCAGTGCATTTATTTATTTATAATCATAAAATGGTGCCAATCAAAGTCATCATTCCTCAGTGAAACACCAAATTTTATGTTCTTTAGAACAGGTCATGGGCCGGCCCGGTGGCGCACTGGATAGTGCGCCGCTTGGGAAGCGCGGCGGCGCTCCTGCCCGAGGGTTCGGATCCCACATACAGACCGGTTCCCGCTCACTGGCTGAGCGAGGCGCGGGAGCAGCGCTGAGGGTTGCGATCCCGTTGCCAGTCCCCGGTCCGGTACGGGGGCAACACTGAGGGTTGCGATCCGTTGCCGGACACGGAAAAAGACAAAAAGAAAAAAAAAAAAAAAAAGAACAGGTCATAATGGGCTTAGAATCAGAAGATCCGTGTTGCAGTCCTGGCATCATCCTTTTCTAGCTGTGTGACTTAAGTCACTTAACTGCCTGAGCTTCAGTCCCCATCTGTAAAATAATGCTGATGTCCTGGGTTCCTGTCTTTAGGGTTGTGCTGAGAAACAGATGACACGCACAAAGGTTTCTGAAATTATAAAGTCCCCTTATTATCATGGTCCCCTGCCCACTTCCTTTGGCAGCATGAGTCACGGTTTTTTTGTGCCTTTTTTGAACTTACCTTCTTTTAAACAATCTCCTGAGTGGATTTTGCTCCCATAATTACCTCTGAGGTTGAGGGATTCCTGGGAGTTGGTCCAGCAGCACCTTTCAGTTGCCAGCACAGCAGAGCACCTTGCCTGAATTTCATATTAACGTTTTTCAAATGCTGACTTCATATAACTTCATCTTGTCTTTCTGGGTCTTTTGCAGTCCCAATCTCCTAACCACTCTCCTTGTTACAATATTACCTGTCTTTGAAGTCTCATTATCAACTGTTGCCAACTCAAGCCAAGGCACAGTTTCTTGACCTTTCCTCATCTGTTTCAATTACCGTGGACTTGTTTGGATTGGGTTCTTCTCGCATCAGTTGGCAATGCTGAAATATCCAGAATTCATTCAACATGTGATAGCAAATCAAGTTCTGGAGGCTGGGAAGCCCAAGATCAAGGGGCCAGCAGGTTTGGTGTCTGGTGAGGGCCCGCTTTCTGGTTCATAGATGGCGCCTCCTCGCTGTGACTGCACGTGGTGGGGGCACCAAGTTCATTTAGATTGAGGAGAAGAGTAAAGGAAGGAGAACAGCTGTCCCTTGACGCCCTTCTTGTGAGGAGGGGCCCCGGCGGGGGTTTTGGGGATGCGGTGAGCTGTCTCTGGCCAGTCTAGTGGCTATGTGGGCACTGTGGTTTTTTCTAAAGTGCACTTGAACTTTTCTTGCATTCTTTTGTGTGTGTGCTTTATTGCATGATAAAATTTTAAATTGAGCATGCATAGAAAAATGTTTCTTTTGGGCCGGCCCGGTGGCGCACTGGATAAGTGCGCCGCTTGGGAAGTGTGGTGGCGCTCCCGCCCGAGGGTTCGGATCCCATGTACAGACCGGTTCCCGCTCACTGGCTGAGCGAGGCGCGGGAGCAGCACCGAGGGTTGCAATCCCGTTGCCGGTCCCCGGTCCGGTACGGGGGCAACACTGAGGGTTGCGATCCGTTGCCGGACACGGAAAAAGATAAAAGACAAAAAAAAAAAAAAAAAGTTTCTTTTTTCTCTGTGGGTGGCAGGACTATGGAAAATTTTTCTTATACTTTTCCAAATTTTCCAAGTTTGAATTGTATTTTAAGCACTTTGCTTTTTAATGTCCTTTTCTGTTACATTATTAACTTGTGTCTTTAGGGAGGACTTTTGCTGAGTCCTGTTTTTCCTATAAAAGACGTCTTTCTTTTCCAGGAAGGCTCTGCAAGACCAGCCTTTCCTGTGCAGGGGCTGCTGCGTTCCCTGCAGGCTCTGATGGGCACTGTAATGGGTTCCCTGTGGGAGCCGAGGCTGCCAACAGGCCGACGTCATGGAGACCCCTGGTGCTTCTCATCCCCCTGCGCCTGGGGCTCACAGACATTAATGAGGCCTACGTGGAGACGCTGAAGGTGGGTCTGGCAGTGCTCACTCTTGCCCACTTGGGTCCCCCGCTTCCGGTTCTGTCACTGCTAGTGTATCATTGCATGTGGCCATCTTGAGCAGCCAGCTCTCTGGGGTGGGAATGAACAGCCACAGATTACCAAGGGGTGACTCTGATGTGAGGCCCAGCTGTCAGTTGGATGAGGCAAGAAAGTCCTTCTGATTTGGTTTTATGAGCGTGTAGCCTAGTCTTAGGCGGATTGTTAAGAATTAAAGTGTTAGGAACTTCAGGAAGGGTCCTCAGAACCAGACTGGCGCTGGGAGGCCTGCTGTGCCTCCTGGTATCTGCTGTGCTCCAGGCCCCCCCACACTTGCCTTAGGCTCAGGCCCTTTTGGAGGGCAAGTCAGCTTGTGAGGAAGGAGGGCTGTGGACAGCAGTTGGGAGTGACAGATGGGCTGCTAAGATTCCTGGGAATTCCATCCACAGGCTCCTTCTGACGTCCCCACCCATGTCACGAAGAGAAAAGGCAAAACCCTCTTTCCTTCAGTTATCTTAGATTTTTAGACCAAGGGGTCACATTCCAGATCATCACTGTATGGAACTGAAGGGCCGCTTTTCATTAAAATACTTCCATTGTCTTGATCTTGGCCACCCCGTCTTGTGGGTTCCTGTGCCACCACCCTTCGTAACCACACTGTTCCTCACCCCTGCTCCCTCCCCCCCCATCAGGTCTACTCAACACTCAGCAGCCATGTTCAGGGCCGCCTCCTGTACTCCCTGTTTGCACCTCTGCAAGGGCCATTTTCCTGGCCCCCTTCCTCCCACCTTCCCAAAGCCCACCCCTACGTGCAGCTCTCCTAAGCAGAATCCTGCAGGTTTGGTTTCCTTGAGCATGTGGTGTGTGTACCCTGTTGTCCTCTCTGGACTGTAAGCTCCTCAGGGCCATGTCTTCTCGTTTCCTTCTAGTGTCACCCACCAGGGCCTGAGCAGGCCCTCAGGCCCTCCCGTGGCAGTGGGTGGGGGATCATCGCTCCTGCCTGTGTCCTGCGCTCAGTTGTCTGCAGGCCCAGAAAGCGTCCTCTTGTACTTCATCAGCAGGACCAGAGTGCTCAGCAGCCCCTCTCCCCTCTCTCCCACAGCACTGTTTCATGATGCCCCAGTCCCTGGGGGTGATCGGAGGGAAGCCCAACAGTGCCCACTACTTTATTGGCTACGTTGGTGAGTTGGGTCCACATGTGGTGGGTCCAAAATGATGCCCCCGGGGGTCTGTGGGAGTGGTCTTTGAGGGCACTTGTGGAGCATTGCTGCCATATCCCCTGCCACTGCTTCACCCCATACCACAGGGCGGCACTTGACTCAGGGCCACCAGCAGGAAAGCAGCGTGCTTCCCTGAGTGGGTCCCCCTTCCTGGCGCCTGTGTGCCAACCTGGCCCCTGTGTGGCCTCCTGTGCGCCCTCCTGTGCGCCTTCCTTTCCCACACAGTCCTGGCCTGCCACCCTGCCCTGTGCCCGCTGTCTCAATGCGGCATGTCTGTTTGAGTTGATTTGGGTGTGGTGGGTTCGGTTGGCCACCCACTGACATCTCCAGTGTCCTGCCAGGTGGGGAGCTTATCTACCTGGACCCCCACACGACGCAGCCGGCGGTGGAGTTCTCTGACTGCTGTCGCATCCCTGACGAGAGCTTCCACTGCCAGCACCCGCCGTGCCGGATGAGCGTCGTGGAGCTCGACCCGTCCATCGCCGTGGTACGTCTCGACCCTGTGTCGCGTGGCCAGTGCTCTCAGTCGTTTTGTGCCTAATTCTGTTTCAGAATGACAAGGAAAACTTTAAGATTTTGTGGTTTTTTCCAACATTTTGGAATAAGTATTACGTTCTCATGGTTTAGAATTCGAAGAGCACAAGAGTTAACAGTGTCCTCTTGGCACTTGTGTCCCTCCCCAGAGGCCATCTGCCCTTGTGTGGCCCTCACAGACTTTGTGCAGGCTGGAGAGCACGTGTGTGAATGAACGGGAGAGAGTGTCCCCACTCGAACAGCTGCTTCTAGGTCACACCTCTGCGCCCCTCTCTAGTTTTCTGCGTGTTTTAACGTATCTGGGAGATGATTCCCCAGAATGAGCTTCCTTGTTTTTCCCATTGGGTCACAAACTTAGAATTTTTGGTGTGTGATTTATGCAGACCTGCCTACTCTCAAAATGTGTGTGATGGAGAAGGAGACCAAAAACAACAATAAAAATTGGAAATAATGACATTCCTAGGGAAGTAATTAACTGAGTCATGAGCTCTGTGTCTTGGATACTCTGCTCTGCTTATAAAGAATGAGGTAAATCTGGTCTTCATACGAGATGGTCTCTTAGGTGTGACACAACCCCAGGCAGCCCTGCTCCAACGCGGGCGTCCTGGGGAGAGTAGCGGGAATGCGAAGGTGAGCTGGAGCTCTGTGGCTTGGATTTCTCACCAGAACCTCCTCGTGAATTCCCTATCTAACTAAAATTAAGTATATCTGTTATAGTAAATGCCTCTCAGTAGCTTGCAGTGATTGGTAGAATAAGAAACAGGTTGACCTAGAGAGCCAGGCTGCACAGGAGGAGGAAGTGGGGACGTGGTGACTGGAGAGGAGGTGGCATGTTTGGGGTGTTTTGAGCACCGGTTTGAGCTTTTGGGAGCTGAGACCGGAGGGGACACATGGTGGAATAACTCCTCGTTCCCACCCGTGAGAAGGAGGAACACACACTGGCTCCCTGGGAGAAAGAAGCCTTTCATTTTCAAGCAGTGTCCGTGTGTCCCCTACCAAGCCGTGGACAGCATTAACAGTGTCTTCCAAGTAGGAGAGAGGATGCTCAGTTTGAGCTTCTCCTCCCATTTTGTATTTCTGTTTTCCTTTTTCTGTTTCTTTTTCTTTTCTTGTTAACATCTGTATGTCTGGCAGTGTTTAGGGTTCCTAGTAACTACCATGACAGACAAGTTTTAAGAATACAGTTTTCCCAGCTACTTTTGGTAGCACCGAGTGCCCCCATGTCTGCTGTATTCCTCCGTGCGAGGCTCGCTTTTCAAGTGCTGCAGCATGCCCTGTGTCTTCAGAGCAGTTCTTCATTTTTTGGCGGCTGGCCAGAATAGGGAACCGAATGCTTGACCTTGGTGTTACAAGGACGAGCTCTAACCAACAGAGCTAACTGGCCAGCCCTTTGGAGCAGTTCTTGGTGGCCTTCACCGCTGAGCTTTTAAGGGAGATACTGAGTTGAGGCCGGGTCTTGGAGCCACCAGCCGTGCCACATGGTCACAGGAAGAAGAGGGCTCTCTCCACTTTCCCCTGACACAATCATAACCTCCTCATTCTCAGAAGATTCATTAAGGCTTTGACAGTGCACGTGACATAAGATCTTATGGCTAAATCAAGGCAGAGGAGCCTGAGGAGGGTTGGGGCCCTGGGCACAGGGAAGCGAGGACAGCCTGCATGTGTCTAGAAGCGTGCATGCTGGGGGTCCCCGAAGGCCGTGGGGCTGTCTGCTGTGAGCCGGCGGTGGGCGGGAGCCCCGGCTCTTCAGCTCACAGCAGTGTTAGATGTACTACGCTCTGCTCACAGTCCTTTTTGTTTTAGGGGTTTTTCTGCAAGACTGAGGATGACTTTAATGACTGGTGCCAGCAAGTCAAAAAGGTTTGTAGCTGCCCTCGTACCCAGAGCTGAGCCGAGCCTCCTCGGGAAACAGTGGGGCAGGCGGGGCTGAGGCCAGCATGCGGTGCGGGGTGGCCTGGCTTGGAATCCCGCTCCCCGGGCATGTGGAGAGCGGGGTCCCGTGTGGCGGTCACTTCTGGTATCATCCTCGTCGTGATTAGTGTCGTGGGGACGGATATTGACACTAACTTTAGAGTGTGATCACTACTTCGTCCATCCGCCTTGTGTTGATCCAGGTGGGGGTGAGTTTGTCCTGAAGGCTGCTCATCCGCTGGATGCGTGCCGCCCTGCCTGCTCTGCCTCATGGTCAGACAGACCTGACGGCAGCGATTCTCACGGGCAGGCCTGTGCTGCGTGTTGATCCCATGTTGGGTTCTTGGCAGTGGCCTGCAGAGGGAAGGCACCTCCATTCTTTCATCAGTGAACAACAGTGTTCATGTGCCTATGGCCGGCCACCCCCCTTTCTCTTGGCTGTGTGATTGCTGTGGGGTGGGGGCTGTGTCTAATGGTTGTGTCTGGCTGACAGCTGTCCCTGCTCGGAGGTGCCCTGCCTATGTTTGAGCTGGTAGACCAGCAGCCTTCCCACCTGGCCTGCCCTGATGTCCTGAACCTGTCCCTAGGTGAGTGCTGAAGCTGCAGGGCCAAGTCCCCATGGGGCCCCCAAACCTGATCTCATCACGGGGTGGGGGGGGTCTGTGCCCACCTTGCTTCCCCAGGTCCTGGGGCACCTGCTTTTGATCGTTACGGTTTATGTGGATCCCAGGCGTGAGCAGTTGGTGGTGATTTGCGTACAAGACCACGCATGGCTGTGGAGCATCCCGTCCTCTCAGCCTGAGCTCAGCAGCAGCAGGACCTGCCGCCTCGCTCTTCACCCTGCCCTGGGTCAGCTGCACAGGACTCTGTGGAGCTGGGCGTGCCCCAGTGGGTTCTCAGGACTCTGTAGGAGATAATATGCTGGGTCGTCTATAATGACACAGTCCAGCATGGGAATTGGCCTGACCCACAGACTGCAGCAGTGGGTGGGCTGGGCTCCCCCAACCTGCAGCGAGCTGTGGCCCGCGAACACATCCAGCTCACACTTCCCTCCATCTCACTGTAAAGAGTGCTGGACAGACCACAAAGGGGCAGGAGGTTGGCCTTGCGAGACACTGGACTGGTGCCCTGCCAGGCTGCAGCGAGCTGTGGCCCGCGAACACATCCAGCTCACACTTCCCTCCATCTCACCATAAAGAGTGCTTTGAGGTGAACAATGATGGACAGACCACAAAGGGGCAGGAGGTTGGCCTTGCGAGACACTGGACTGGTGCCCTGCCAGGCACCATCAGGCCTCAGATTGTGCAGGGGGTGGGTGCCCCCTCATGGGCTCTCGTGCTCCCACAGCTGGGCCCTTCATCACTCTGTCCTCAAGTGAGAGCTGCGTCTGCTCTTCCTTCTGTCTTAGCCCCTCTCTCCTGCCCCCCAGCCTCACAGCGGCTGACATGCTTCGTCCCTCTGCGGGCCCTTCATCACTCTGTCCTCAAGCGAGAGCTGCATCTGCTCTTCCTCCTGTCTTAGCCCCTCTCTCCTGCCCCCCAGCCTCACAGCGGCTGACATGCTTCGTCCCTCTGCTCACAGGTCGAGAGCCCCCCTCCTGGCCTGCTCTGACCCACCAGTCAGGGAGAGGCCAGCATCTCGACTGGGCAGTCCTAGCGTCCTGTGCCCCTCCCGCCGGCGGCCCTCGGGCGTGGGGCCGCACGGTATGACAGGTTCTTGCTCCAGTCTGTCCTCCCTTTCTAGCGTCTTCACCCGATACCCCAAAATAACCCATTAGAGATGTCTGATGAGGTCTCATCTTGCTCCTTCTAGATTCTTCTGATGTAGAACGACTAGAAAGATTCTTTGACTCAGAAGATGAAGACTTTGAGATCTTGTCCCTTTGAAAATCCTGGGGTCAGCGCCTTTGAGAGCCCAGCCCTGCCTCGGGGCGTTCGGTGCACTGCATCTCATCCATCCAGCCTGCCAGCCCGCTTGCTGAGTGCTGTGTGCCCGTGTTGCCTCTGCCCAGAGGGCCGCCCACTCTGCTTGTGGACTGAGGACTGCGCTGCCCTGAAGGCCTTACTGGTTGGAGTCAGACTTCCCAGCTCAGAACACTGGTCTGGGCTTGCAGGGTCCTCATGAGGAGCTGCCCATCAGAAGCCCAGTGCAGCCGGGTCAGGAGCTTGCAGAGTTCTCCTCTTGACACTGCCAGCCCTGAGCTAGTACATCAGCCTCGGTCCTACTTCCTCCTGGGCACCCGGTTCTGTGGTTTGTTTGGAATTAAAGTCCTGTTGGAAGTTGTTCAACACAGACATGAATTTCTGGGGCACTTCCCAAGTCATAATCTCAGAAGACCTGCGGGTTGGCATGAGGAGCAACAGCCATATTGTGGCTTTTGAGCCGTGGACTGGGCTGCTTGTGCTGGGCAGGGCAGGCTCTCAGGCTGTGTGCCCTCTGCCCAGCATGGTTTATCAAGGGCTACCTCAGTGGGAGATCAGGTTGTAAGGTTTTTCCTTGCTTTGGGGAGAAAAATACTCAAGGGCGGGGCATTTGGGAAATCCAAAGATGTCAGTGGGCACAAGACACGGCTGGACAGCCTGGGCTGCAAGGCAGCTGACACACCCTGGGGGCGTCTTCTGGAGTGACAGTCCTCAAAGGGTCCCTGTAGGGGCGCAGCTTTCCGTCTCCCTTAAGGGGTCGTGTCATTCTGAGCTGTACCACGTGCTGCTGCTTGCTTCAGTTTCCCTCGTGGTGGGCGGTGGGAGGAAGGGGCGGAGCCCATGGCTACCCGAGAGCCTTCTGCTGTGTCCTTGCCCTTCTCAGAATTGCCCTCCTGGGTCACTGAGGTTTCAGATGGTTTGGGGCCAAACGGGTAAAACCACCTCAGCTTTGTGGTGCCTAATGGGCAGATGGTTAGACAGATGGGGCAGGACAGGCACCCGTTGCTTGTGGCATCAGTTGGCGATGTTTCCAGACCCTCCTCAGCACTAATCTCAGCACTTGCTACCCTTTTAACTCTGGTCTCCTGGAGTGCACCGTCGCTACACTAGTCTGCTTGTCTGACCTCGAAAAGTGGCTTTGGTCCTACTAGAAAACGTAAGCCAAGGGGCTTGGGGAGCTTTGGGAGTGGCTGACCACTGGGGCCTTTCTAAAAGGCCCTTCCCTCAGTGAGGGCAGAACTTGCTGCTGCTGTGTGGACAGACGTGTCCTGGCTGTGGCTGCACGTGGCGTCTGTTAAGAGGTAACAGAGGACACCCACCGGACCCCCAAGTGTTGATGACGTCATTTATTTCCTCTTATTCTTTCTCTTTTTCCCTCCGTCCTCCTGCTTCCTCCCTCAGGTGCAGTTGGGGTGAACAGGAGGGCGGGCTGCGGCAGTCTCCATTCCTTTAGGGCTCTGCGCCTCCGCGTTGGCACAGCACCACTGCCGCTGGTGGGGCACTAAGGAGGGTCCTACTGCTGGGACGCGGAAGTGGGCGGAACACCTTGACCAAAGGGGACATTTGTCCCATGTGTTTTGAAAAAGGCTTTATTGAAGAGAATGTTGTTCATTCCTAGTAGAATAGTTTGCAATTCTTAATGGCAAATAATAACAGTTTCAGTAGAAAGTAGTTTTGTGTATTGATTTTTTTTCCTCAAGCTATGGTTGGATGTGATTTTCAGAAAAAAATGAGAGTGAATGTTTAAGCGCATAATGTCTCAGGAAGAGGATCTGGCTGGTCTGTGGCAGGCTGCGAAAACGCTTGCTCCTCGGACGTGGGCGAGCGGAACCCGTCCTGCTGCCAGCCTGGCTCACTGCGAGCTGCAGCGTCTGCCCTCTCTCATGCTGGGTGAACTGAAGAGTGCAAGATGTGATTTTAGGAAAATGAAGTGGCAGCCCTCTTCAACAGTTGAAGAAAGTGCCTCGGTTTGATTTATGATGACAAAGGGCCCTTCCGGCAGCCCGGGGAAAGGAGGCATGTGTCCAGGGTATAGCAGGGGACTGGGTGGGCCCTTCACCCTGCCCCATGAGATCCCTGTGGGACAACCTGGGTACCCTTGATTGTCCACCTGCCCTCTGGTGTAGGCGCAAAGGGCCTAGAGCCAGACAGGAAAGGGAGACACTGCTGGGCCCCGGGAGAGTTGGCCTGAGAGCTTGCCATGGCCTCTCAAGTGCCGTGTTAGTCCTTGTGGCTGCTGTGGCCAGTCCCCACACACTCAGAGGTCCCGGAGAGTAAAAGTCCAAAAGTGCCGTCGACACGTCTGGTTCCTACTGGAGGCTCCAGGGGAAGATCTGTTTCCTTGCTTTTCCAGTTCTAGAGCTGCCTGCACTCTCACAGCTGCAATGGAGCATCTCTCTGACCTCTCCTTCCGCTGTTGTAGCTCTTGACCATGACCTCCTACCTCCCTGTAAGAAGCACCCCTCTGGTAACTTTGGGCCCATGTGGGTAATCCAGGACAATCTCCCATCTCAAGATCCTTCACTTAATCCCATCCACAAAGCCCCTTTCAGTGTTTACTCAAATGTCACATTCTTTTGTCTTGACTGGATTCCAGTCTCCTGGCTGAAAAAGGAAGGGTGTTGAGACCCACAGCCGCCAACCCCAGACAGGCAGCCCTACCTGCCTTCCATTCCAGCACTCTATACTGCTCTCGACCCAGAAGGTGCTCTGTGTAGGGCAGACCGTTCCAGCAAGGGTCAACAGATCGTTCTGAGAGTCATTTAAAAGGATGCAGTGAAAAGCTAAGCTCTAGGGAGTAACAAAAATAACAGCAAAATTAACATCCATGTATTCAGAATGTAGGACATCATGCCACTCAGATAGAACCTGGCCGGGCCACTAGAGGCCAGGACACATGGGACTCAGAGCCCAGGACACACCTGAGATGTCAAAGCCTCGGCGGGAATCCCTCCACTAGGCCAGGACTAAGGTCGGGAAAGGCCCTCCTGGTCCCAATGCAGGGCCCTTCTCCAGCCGGCATGAAGATTCCCACTCAAAGCCAGCTCAGTCCAGGGCTGGTGTCTAAGAGGAGTGAAGCCTTTCACAACACATTTTTCAGGTCAATTTTTATTAATGCTTGTAAGAATTTCAGAATTCCAACTGATTGCCATTTCCATGTTCTCAATGAAACTGCTCAGATAGAGTAATCATTAAACATTAGTAAGAAAATACACCAATAAAGTAATATCTACAGGTTAAAGGAGAGAGCAGAGGAAGACTGGTCCATCGTATTTCTTGGTGTCTGCACTGCCAAGGTCCCTACCTGCAGGGGTCCTGGGTGCACCCCAGCCCCAGATCACAAAAGGCAACATGTGGGTCTCTGCTGCTGAGAAACAGCTCCTGAAATGTGGAATACGAATACGGCTGGGTCCACGAGCCTTTGACAAGTGTCTCCGCCTCTTGAGGGGCTGCAGGAAGCAGGCGTCTCCATGGAGTGGCAGCCTTGGGTTTACTTCCACAGCTCCCCCAGCGGCCTCTGTACTGCGGTGCAGATGGTGTCCTCGGAGAGTGCGCGGATTTCCTCATGGACCTCTTCAATGCTTTTGGAAGCGTCGACCATCTGTTCCCACAGGGGATTCAGGAGAAAAAGAGGGCTGTTAACACTTTTCACTTTGTTCCCAGTGCAAGTGGGAATTTCAGACAGGCTGGCCTGAATCTCCCTGGAGGCTGAGGACCTCCAGGACCCTACATGCCACACTTTTCTCTGAATCTTGACTGTGTCCTTGGTACAAAGCTGCCGCCACTCCTGCCACAGCCCACACGCAAGAGAAACACCATGCACCAAAGGTCCCCTCTTGCTCTGAACCTTTCCTCATGATCCCAAACCCAAGGAGTGCCCACCTGCTGGAGAGTGAGGTGTGGCATGGTCGTCACAGTGCCTGGGGTCTGCACCGGCTTGTTTCCCATGAAGAACGCTAGAGCTCAGAGTGACTCCTTCCAGGTCACAAGTGAGAAGACAGGCACAGAGGGCAGCCTCTGCCCCTGTCCACACTTTGGCAACACTCCCCCTGCATGCTCAGGGCAGCTACTCTGAACTTGAGGAAGTTCCGCAGAAGTTGTGCGGCAGGACCAAGCCGGCCTTGGGTCTGCATCCTGTCCTTTTGGGGAAGGTGAATTTTGTGCTAACACAGCTATGCTGCATCCTAACACGAACAGAGTGAAGAATGTCACTAACAGAGTCAGCCCACAAGAGCAACTTCTCTCCACCAGAAGGAAGGGAGGCGAGAGAAGGAATCCTTTCCTCTGCTGTCAGTCTAGGCCGGAGGGCTGGCTGGTTAGCTCCTGGGGTTAAACACCAAGGTCAAGGGTTGGTTCCCCTGCTGTGTGGAAAGAGGCTGCATTGGGGCAAAGGTGGGCACGGACGACTGGTGTTCAGGAGTGAAGGTGGAACCAGAGACCAGGGTGAGAGCAGGGGGAGCAAGAAGGTTAAACACCAAGGTCAAGGGTTGGTTCCCCTGCTGTGTGGAAAGAGGCTGCATTGGGGCAAAGGTGGGCACGAACGACTGGTGTTCAGGAGTGAAGGTGGAACCAGAGACCAGGGTGAGAGCAGGGGGAGCAAGAAGGGGCCAGACATGGCACCCACTGGGAGAGCAGAGCCAAGCATCCTGGGAGAAGGGAGGAGCTGAAATTGGCTCCTGGGACTGGGGCTGAAGCACATTTACAGACATGGGAGGAAGCCAGACGCAGGGAGACAAGCCAAGTGCCCTGTGGGGCCTGGGTCAGGCCTACAGAAGCGGGGCAGGGAACAGCCTCAGGGCTGGAGACTGTGCACGGTAGGAGACGCCTGAGGCGTGACCAGGGTTGGGAAGGAGGCAGGAGGAGAACCAGGTGTCCAGCAAATGTGTCCAGTGGGCTGAGGGGACAGTAAATGAGGTCTGAGCACTGACCCCTGGAACTGGCAAGCTCCAGCTTCTGACACCACTACCTAAGCATGGACACCATAAGCTGAAATATTACTCTCATGACAATGATAGAAGGTGAAGGGTGAAGTATGAAGTAGCCTGTAGGATGTCACCTTCTGAATGACAGCGTCACGTGGCTAAGGCCTTGCAGAGGACAGGAAATGCAGAATGTGCATGTCTCATGCCTGAAGGAGTTGCAAATATGTAACATTGCTCACACTCCCACCTGACCCACCAGACAGACACCAACCTCAGCGTTTTGCCAACCTCTCCGGAGGATTAGAATTTGCTCGCACTAAGAACCCCTGAATGGCTGCCCCCAAGGATGCACAGGCGGGAAACCAGACAGAAACTGCAGCAGCTCTGCTGGTGCTGCCATGCCAGTCAGCACAGGGTGTGAGCCCCCGCCACTTTTTCATGGTTCCCAGTTTGCAATTCTGTCTCCCACCTTCCAGTTCAAAGTTGTGTCCTTCATGAGCTGGTGGAAACGCTGCAGCACCCGCTCCTGGACAGCCCCATTCTCATAGCGCTCACGGCCAAACTCTCCCCGCATGGCAGCATCCGCCAATTTTAAGTGAAGGAACAGGACCAGGTCTGGTTTGGGAAGGCCCACGTCCGGCTGTTTACACCACTCCAGGGAAAAATTCTGCCAATACAGAACCCAGTGGATAGGGAAAGAAAGCTTAGTGAGGTGTAGTTTTTTGTTTCAAAAGTCAAGGGAAAAAATGAGGGGACACTTGGTGAGGTACCAATAAGTGAGAATTCTTACACAACAGTGGCTCTTTTAAAAATTTTAACATTATAAATGTGTTGGTTTCCCCCTCGCCACCCTCCTCTCATTTTCTTTTGCAAATGCATTCACAAGTGGACAGCAAAGTAGATGGAATGGCCGAGGGCCCTGTGTGCTTGTCACCCACAGCTGGGTCCTACAGTGCACCTGCTGATGCAGCTCCAGATGTGTGGGCCTGGAAGAAAGCACAGCCATGCACAGAGATCCTTGGGGCCCACCAGCCTGGGAAGTGGGGTCTGGAGAGCAGATTGGTCCAGAGATGGGCACAGGACCTCAGCCACATCCTTCCACCCACACCTGCCAGGGGGTCATCCCCCTTTGGAAGAGAGGAGACTGGCAATCCTGGAAACCTGCTGCATGCCAGGGCTGTGCTAGATCTCACACACACATTCCTTCTCTCATCACTCTAAAATTGGTGTCTCCATTTCTGGAGGAAAGGTAGGGCCAAAAACGCCGTGACTCAGGGCCACACACCCCAGGAAGACACCATGAGTTTAGGAAGTGAGTCCACCGGCCCTTCCCACAGAGCCTGCATGTCTGCTGGTCACAGCACACTGGGAGGGTGTAGGGAACAAGTCCACACTTCGTCAACCATTTGAATACTTCATAGGGGAAGGACTCCAGCCAGCACATGAAGAAATGGCTGAATTAAAAGGTGACCATCTTGCAATTAACCATCATTAAGGGCTTTTATAACAAAAAGGAGACAACCACACACCATGTGCCTCTTGAAAGGGGAGCCCAGTGCTCCTTGAAGTAGCCTTCTAGGGCTGGCTGGTTTATAGTTCTCACTTGGTTAGAGTGCGGTGCTAATAACACAAGGTCAACGGTTCACATCCCCATACTGGCCAGCCGTCAAAAAACAAAAAAAAGAAGTAGCCTTACAAAAATAACATTTATACATGTTAATGCAAGAAGAGATGTGGAAACCTATCCAAAGAGATTTAAGAGATGTTTTCTTTCTTTCTTTTTTTTTTTTTGTGACCAGCCACACTGCAGTGAGCGAACCAGCCATCCCTATATAGGATCTGAACCCGCAGCGGGAGTGCTGCTGCGCTCCCAGCGCCGCACTCTCCCGAGTGCGCCACGGGGTCGGCCCCAAGAGATGTTTTGATGTAAGGTCATTAATTGGATTCTGATTCAATATAACTGTAAAAATACAAACAAGACAATCAAGCAGCTCTTGAGGAAGCCATGAAGGAAACTTGGACACTGAATGTCTGACGACACTGTGCAACGACTGCTGACTTTTTCTGGGTGAGATTATGTTTTTTAAAAATTTATCTTCAGATATGTGCTGAAAGGTTTGTGAAGGAACCGATGACGCTGTCTGCTGTGGCAGAGACCAGACGCCCTGAGGCTCGTGATCGTGCTTGTGAAAGCAGGACACTGGGTGAAAAGTCCTGCTGATGAACCATCTTTGGAAATGCATGTGAAATATATCATCCAAATAAAAAAATACAGTTATGTCTGTGAAAACAGTCCACAGCTACATAAATGTTTGCTCTTCTTATTGACAATAACCAAATTAATCTAATAAAGAGGTAAACGGGACATAAGAAGAATCATAAACTCCAAAAAGTATCTGGAAAGTGTGTTGCTCATGCGGTAACTGATGCTCTGTGCAAATGTGGGCAGCACTGGGTCCATGCACCTGGAGTCACCCTGATGGGGGCCAACCTGCACTCACCTCCTTGGCACTTGTGAAGGCAACACCAGAAAATGCGTATCTGTCCACAACAAGGGTCACGCCCTGGTTCAGCTTCTCCTTCATTAAAGGCCTGGAAAAGACAGGATGTTTCTTAGCCCTGGTCCTGCTTTCACAGGTCCTGACCTATTATGCTTAAATTATCCTGACAACTCAGAAATCCCACACAACAACAATTATGGCACAGTGACTTATAACATTATTTTATTTTGTTCAAGAAAGCTGTGGCTTTCTCTTTAGAAAATGCCATATGGGTACTCCCAGCAAAGCCCAACATGAAAAGAATAACCCCATTTAACAGCAGCACACACAACTGATAAAGCTGTATGTTCCAGAGACATGGGGAAGAGAAATGGAAAGGCAAATGCAAGCAGAGAAGAGAGTGAAGGATGGTGCTGGAGAGGGCGGCAGGTGCAGCCAGCAGGTGATGCATCTATACCCACATCCCCAAGACTGGGCTGCAAGGACAAGAACAGAAAGGATGTCACAGATATTCTCAACCAAACCACCCCAGGCCCACCATCATCCCCACAGCTGCAAAGCTCTTAGATGTGCAAAGACGAGGGGCCTGATGTTAGCAAGAGGCACCCCTTAAGCCAAGAAGGCCCAACAGCCGACCTCACCAGTGCCTTCAAATTCCAGGGACACTTGTGTGAATGTAGTCAACTGCTCCTTGACAAAGGAGCAAAGGCAATACAACGGAGCAGAGACTGTCTTCAACAAATGGTGCTGGAACAACTGGACATCCACATGCACAAAAGGGAATCTAGACCCAGATCTTACAAACTTCACAAGAATTAAAATACATCACAGACATAAATGTAAAATGCAAAACCATAAAACTCCTAGACATACATACCCCTAGGTTGCACAGGAGAAACCTAGGTGACCTTGGGTTTGGCAATGACTGTAGATAGAATACTGAAGGCATGACCCTTAAAAGAAAGAATTGATAAGCTGGTCTGTGAGAGACACTGTCAAGAGAAAGAAGAGACAAGCCTCAGACTGGGAGAAAATATGCACAAAAGACACACCTGAAAAAGGACAGGTGTCCAAAGTAAACAACTCTGAAAATACAATAATAAGAAAACAGAGGACCCCATGAAAAACTGGGCCAAAGTGGGAGAGAAATAGGCCAAAGGACCTTAACTGACACCTCACCAAAGACAGATGGTAAGTAAGTACATGAAAAGATGCTCCACATCATACATCACCTACTAGAATGGCTAAAATCCAGAACACTGACGACACCAGATGCTGGAGAGGATGTGGAGCAATAGCCATCCTCATGTGTTGCTGGTGGGATGCAGAATGGTGCAGCCACCCTGAAGACGGCTTGGTGCTTCCTCGCAAGACGAAGCATATCATCACCACACAACCCAGGAACGGTGCCTTGGTATCCACCCAAAGGAGGTGAAAGCTTATGTCCACAAAAAACCTGCACGTAGATGTTTATAACAGCTCTATTCATAATTGCCCAAACCTGGACAACCAAAATGTCCTTTAGTAGGTGGGTGGATAAAATGTGGTACATCCAGACAATAGAATATTGATTAACGCCAAAAAGAAGTGAACAACTGTACCAAGCCATGAAAAGACAGGGAAGAAACTTAAATGCACATTACTTAGTGAAACAAGCAACCTCTGGCAGAACAGCTGGATGACAGAGGCGCAGGCCTGGGCACCTGGGGTAAGATTACTATTTAGAAAGTAAAACCAGCATTCTTTGTCATTTTCAATTGGACGTATACGTACTACATTACTTTTCCACAAAGCCACAAAAAGCAAAATGGGAACAATTACCTCCATAAATTCCAGATGTGCTAAAAGATGACAAAAGTGTTCTCATTTTCATCAAAAACTTGGGGTGGGGAAAGCCTCTCCAGGCGACACATAGCTAAGCCTGAGGAGAGTAACACGGGGTTTTGGGCAACAGAACACTGAGAAACCACTGGAAGTCTATCAGCCTGGAACCGGCTTGATGCGCTGCGGGACAATCTTTCTAGAAAGAACTCTACAGCAGCAAAACAGAACGAGGAAGAGCTACTTCCCTCTCTGCTGCACAGAGCTGCAAGGCAGAGTTAGAAAGTAAGCTGCCAAGTAATTTGTATGGTGTGACCCCACTTGTGCTGAAAAGCAAAGCAACGTGCGTGTCAGTGGAAAGGGTATGCTACAGAGATCTTACTCGGATGATACAATGTGAACGGTGTGGGAGAGAGTACACCCTAATAGAAACTTTAAACTTAGTTAAAAATGTATCCATACTGGTTATCAATGGTGACAAACAGGACACGCTAACAACATGTAAGTAACAGGGAAAGGAGGGGGGTGGTATGCAGGAACTCTACTGTTCGGTTTTCTGTACACCTCGAACTATCTAAAAGAAAAAGTTAAGTCTATTAGTTGCAAAAAGGGAGGGCAGGAGAAGCAACAGCCTCAGAGCGTTCTGCGGGAGCTACGGCGCTCGGCCGCCTCTGCTCCCGGGACGGCTGAGGACAGAAGCCGGCGGACACTAAAGCACAGCCTCGGCTCCCAGCGCTCCCCGGCGTCACCGGGAAGCCCCAGCCGGGCCGGCCGCGCTCACACTTGCTCCCAACGGTTCGCAGAGAACAGCAGGTGCACCGAGTGGTCCTCCACGTCGCTCTCCTTTTCCAGGTAGGAGCTCAGGAGTCTGCCGATGTCCGTCGACCTTTCTGGAAACAAGTACAAACGAGGTCAGGCTTCGGCTCCGCACCGGTGACCCCTCACTGTCTCTCCGCGGAGTCTCCCGGAGAAGGGGACCTCGAGGGCGCGCTGGGGACCGGGGCCTCCCCTGCCCGCCGCCTTCTCTGACGCCTGGA